ACCCACTGAACTAGAACCAACCACAGTCAACTGACGAACCTCTCCTAATCTAGGCCTCACTGGAAATAATAATAATAATAGTTAATTATTTAATAATCATTACGTTCTATTGATTCACAGCTGGTAGTGTTAGATCCCTCTTCGTAGTGAAGAGCTTCATATACTAGAAACAACAAGACCACACCTACTTACACTCATTCTAATTAAAGCCCATACCACAGTGAACGTTGAGATCATAAGAATGAGAACACTGATAGGTAGAGACTCTGGAACCAGTACAAGAGGCACAGGAACCAAGACAGACCTCAGTGGGTGAGGCTGAACAATATAAATTATCCAACCATATTGGGGTCCAGTAACTAGCCTGACTAATAAATTAATAAAATAAATAATTAATTAATTAAACACTTACAAGGTTCCGTTACTATAAGACTTAGCCGAGGTGTATCCCAGCTGTCTACAGACAAGGTGGGCAGCATCAGGAGTGAAGTATCGGCCACAGACTGTCCCCCACTGGCCACTACAATAGACTTGTACCAGACCCTGTGTGAGGAATAATGCCAGAACACTCATCAATATTATCAGACCCCCCTCATGTGTATTACGTTTGATGAAGTGGTCCCATACAATAATCTCAATTGACTGTCATAAGGAGGATTATTAGTACTGTCTGGAATAAAACAAATATTAGTTAATTAACTATTAATTAATAATTAATTAACTCACTGCAGTATAAAGTAACATAGTTCCGTTGGCAGGTGTGAAAACCTTTCCTATAAGAACACCTCAACAAATGGAGGTACTCACTGTTGCCATAGCAATTGACCTCCGATATAGAAACAGAACCAACATCACTACCATAACTGAAGAAACAATAAATCATTATTATTATTATTATTATTATTATTATTATTATTATTATTATTATTATTATTATTAATTATTATTATTATTATTATTATTATTATTATTATTATTAATGAATTATAACCACCTGTTGATGGTGTCATTGTTCAATGATGAGGAGTACCCCAGCTGGTGACAGGCCACGTTCCTCTCAGTTATATTGAAATTATCTCCACAGACCTCACCCCAACCAGTGGACGCATAAATCTAAAGGAGACACAACAATAGAACCAGCCCCTCCCCCTCCAGTAGTCTCTACCTGGAGTCTACCATATGAATAACTGAGTCTTGAGACACCGTTTCTGATTAGTCTGAGGTCACCAGGAGACTGACCTATTGATGATAATAATAATACTAACTATTAGGAGGCTCAGTACCATCAATTAATAATGAATAAGAAAGAAAAATGGAGAGAAACAAAAAAGATGACAAGGCAGCCATTTTGCATAGTCCAGATAATTTTGAAAGAATGTCAGGTCATGCCTATTATAGATCTAACTAGATTTAGTGAGTGGAACCTAATTCAAATGGCTGCTTATTAAGGTACAGTCAAGAAAATGGCTGCATGCTTATTCCCTTCCTGTTAAAGGTACAGTCA